CGTATACAGTGGTGGGGCCTTTGGCTTTTTAGTCTTTTCAGTGATGCACAAGAATTAGTCGTGGAGTGATGTCTTTCTTTCGGTTGTTTTGAACTTGATTGATGCATAGCTCCCCATTGCAAGAGTTTGGTGCGTTGCTCCTTTGTGCAGGACGAGACTCGTGCGTTGTGGTAATGGTCTGTTAGTAACTATTAAACAGGTATTTGATATGTCAGGATGCTAGACGGAGCAAGAATAAATGATATTCTGATCTTGATGCTGTTTTTATTGTGGGTGAACAACGGAATATATATATATATATTGAAATGGCAAGATAAGTCTTTATATTTGGTAATAAGTGGCTGTAATATCACTGATAGGTTAAAGAAAAGGAGTTCTCTAGAGTATGGTAGATGGGGTAAAGGAACTCAGGTGAGAATACAAGTGTCAAGAAAGGTTAAAAAGCAACAAAACGCAGTCATGAGCAGGTTTATTGAAACGTAAAAGAGATACACGCAGGCAGATCACGTCGCTTACTGGGTACGACGAATTATGAGAACGTTCTGCCTCCATCCAGCAGAGATGCTCGCCTCTCACTGTCTCTTTTTCGAAAGTTACGAAATAGGCATTACGACTAAAATCGAATTTACATTCTAAATTTTGCTCACTACAATACTGAACAATTATGGAAGGTGATTAGAACTTTCAGCAGGCGATGTGGAAGATTCTGTTCGACATGAATTCCATGCATACAGACACGCACAATCACCAGTATTTACGGTCAAGCCAGGTCGTCGGAGGGAGAGAACCTTATCTGACTGACTGGTGCTTCTCCTGGTGTGACGGGTTGCCTTCGTTTTACCAAGCAAGTGTATGGAGTGTTGTCTTTTATATTGGTTATGTTTTGAAAATTTGTTAGTGTGGAAGTTCTATGTTGCTTTTTACTCAGCCTGTGATGTCATATTTTTGTTGTTTTNAATTTTCTTCGGCTGTGGTTTTGCATTTTCTTCGGTGTATTGTAATAAAAGCGATATCATCAATTCCCAACCTGACAGAGATTCAGTTTCTGACATTTGGCTGACCTTGCAGACAGATTATCGCCCATCGAATCCTTGAAAACGCTAAAAGGGAGGTCTTCCGCCATAACGTTGCCTGACAGCTCCCACTTCCCCAAAGTGGAGCCTGCTGACCCCGAAGCCCTCGTGAGATCCAAGAGAAACTCCTACTACGAGCGGGATGACCCCTGGGGCAGAGACAGGATGTACGGACGTCGTCGATACAAGACAGGTCGTAGGAAATATAATTCTGGTCGAATAAGGTACTTCTACCAGCGAAAGAAACCCTCGAAGAACGGAGGACCTGATTATAACTACGAAGACTCTTCCCCGAAATACTCCAACGAGGGCTATGTCCCCAGGGCCGTCGTCAGCGCACCTCCGTCTGAGCCTCGCAGGTCCACCGGAGGATTCGTCTCGGCCAGGTCGTCAGGAGTTGCCAGAGTGGAGGAGACCGCTTAAACCACACTTGATTTATTGATAGTCCCATTCCACATACTGAGATGATTATCTTTTGTTGCAGTGGGTTATGGCAATGTAAGTTAATATCTATCTATCGTCAAAGCCTTCCACACATGTACTTCATATTCTCTGAAAATTACTTGTGTATAAACTAAATTATTCATATATTACGAGAGTTTTGCATACCTTTATGTACGGGTATGATATTCTATTCACTCTGATTTTCAGAGTATTTATTTTTACATATCTCATAAAGAGGCTTTAATGTATATATTTATATAGGTAAGACTGCAGTTTTGTCTTCTGATATGTATGATTATACGCGTTTTCAGTCCTATGAAATGCAACAGATGCATTAGTAGGATGAAGCTAATAAAAAAGATTTTCTAAAAGTTCTGATTTTCAGTTACACCAAATCAATCAAAACTAAGAGAGATAGAGAAGAGGCTTGATGTGCAGACCAAAATGATCTATGATTACGCTTATGATTGCAGTTAGCGTGAGTACAACTAAGGTCATTGGGCAAGAGGGGGAGGGGGTCAGTTGCACCGGCTGCACACATGCACATAAGTACACAAACAAACACACACATATATATGTGTGTTTATGTATCTCTATATATACATATACATATACACGCAAACATATGTATATGTATGTCTCTCTCTCTCTCTCTCTCTCTCTCTCTCTCTCTCTCTCTCTCTCTCTCTCTCTCTATATATATATATATATATTATATTATATATATATATATATATTATATATATATATGTACAAACATACACACACATATTATATGTGTGTGTGTGTGTGTGTGTGTGTGTGTGTGTGTGTGTGTGTGTGTGTGTGTGTGTGTGTGTGTGTGTGTATAGACAGATAGGTAGATTGCCAGATAGATAGACACACACACACACACCACACACACACACACACACACACACACACACACACACACACACACGTTACCATCTGCGTATGCGCGTGTCGTCACGTCTAACGAAGGATATAGCGTGTTCTGGTTTACGGCTCGCACAAATGAAGCACCATAGAGGCTGGCTTGCTAAAAAGGATGTAATTTCTTGATCCCTTGACCTTCATATTAGTCTTTTTTCCTCTCCCTCTTCTATTTCTTTCTTGATTTATTTACCTATTCATTTTACGTATAATCATTATCAAATTGTTATTATTATTATTATAATTGAGATCATTCTACAATGGCAAGGCGTTAAGTTGATGCTTATTTTTCCATGATAGCAAATTTGTACATCCTGGATAAGCATATAAAGTTTTGGAATTAGAGAATATCAGGCGCGCAAAGAGAGAGGATATTAACGATAATCATGATAATAATGAGAAGGTTGTTATTACGACTGCTATAAGGATAATGAGATGAAGTAAATGAGGAAGAAGAAGAAGAAGGAGGCGGAGATGAAGAAGAAAAAAAGGATGAGGGGACGAAAAAGGAGTAAGAGGAGGAAGAAGGGGACTGGAAAAGAACAAAAACAGAAGGAGAATTTACAAAGAAAGAAAGAAAAAAAAAGGAAACTGAAAAAAGAGTTCAAAGAATGAGACTAAGAAGAAAACAAGAAAGAAAGAAAGAATTAGAATCCAAAAAAAAAAAATGAAGAATGACGTGAATAGCGCCAGTAACAAGCAAACTAACACGGACGCAGAGAAAGGAGCCACCGAGCAGGAGGTGTAAACAAACGTCGAGGCAGCAGTCCGTGATTGGCCGAGAGACCTAATTGGACTTATTTCTGAGTGGCGCTCTCTTAATCGGATTCTTCCTGTCTCTCCGCCCGTTATAAATGTGTCAAAGATTAGAGACGTCGGCGCCAGCGTGTGAACCTCCCCTGCCGCCCCCTACATGGCAGGAAGAGGGTAGTTTTAACAAGGGATAGGGACGTGGATTTATTTACCATAGGGAGGCGTAGGGGACGGAGGCGCTGGTGGAGTCGAGGTAGGGGTGGGTGGGAGACTGTGGGTGGTTTTGAGTGGGATTTTGTGTGTGTGTGTGTGTGGTTTTGAGTGGGATTTGGTGTGTGTGTGTGTGTGTGTGTGTGTGTGTGTGTGTGTGTTGTGTGTGTGTGTGTGTGTGTGTGTTTGGACGGGGCTTGCGTATATTTCAACCTTTACATAGGCACATGCATCAATAGTATGTTTTTTTTTCTACTTGTCATAATTTTGCACGCGTGAGTCGGGGGGGGGTGTTCCTCGTCTTTGCTTGTGCCTGGGTCGTTGACGTGTGCCTTTTAACGTGTTTACGTTGTGGCAGCTGTTGCATCATTGTTTTTGTTTGCTCTACATCATTATTTGATTGATACTGTACTACTAGTAAAAGCAGTAAGAGCTGTAGTACAGTTGTTACTATTATCATATTTTTACTACTAGTATATATATATATATTATATATATATATATATAATATAATATATATATATTATATATATATATATATATATAATATATGTATATATATAGCAATAATAATAACAAATAATAGTAATAACACACGCTTGTGTATATATAAATACATATACATACATACACTTACATATAAGAACACACATACACATGGATATACATGTGTTATAAACATTATATGGTAAACACACCACACACACACCACACACACGGCTTGGTATTACAACGTGTGAGCATCTTTTCATTTTATTATTTCATTGAGGGGAGGGGCTACAAGAGAGCGCTAACATGATCCCTGGTGCATACTTATCATTGCAAATATTGTGGTTATCATCATTATTATTGGTATTATCATTATCATTTTTAATAGCCTTATGTATGGTTTGTTGCCAGTAGGAGTAATAGCAGATTATGCCAACATTGTCACTGTTACTTTAATAGTTGTTTTTGTTATAATTGTTATTGATATCATTATCATTATAATTGTCATTGTTATTCCTGTTATTTTTTTTTAATTGGTAGTACCTTCATTATCTTTACCATAATTGAATTGTTATTGTCATTGTTCATTTATTACTTTCTCTTTTTTTTTTTCTTTTTTTGATTGATAGTATTTTTCATCATTAGTGTCATAAATATTATCATTGTCATTATCATTATTATTATAATTACCATCGTTGTTCTTATGAATATTAGTTCGATCCTTATAACATCATTCTTACTATTGTTACCATTGTTAGTATTAGCATTATCATCACGATAATGTTTAGTATAGGAAGGGATATTATCATTATTTTCAGAATAAAGTGTATTGCATATAATATATATATACATATATATATATATATATATATAATATAATTGAGTGTATGAGTATAAGTAATTGTAATATACGCTACTAGTTTACCATTGTTAACATTCTGGTGTAATTACCATCGCAGTCATTTACCAGTATCAACGATAATTTAATCAATATAATGGCAATAATAGTCATTATTTCTGATCCCCGTCATGTCCTCAGCTTAATTATGGTTATGGTAATTCTATTGCCGTTGACATTATTATTTTAATTGATACAATCTTGGGTGTAATTTTCTTATTCATTGATATATATATATATATATATATATATATATATATATATATTATATATATATATATATATATATATATATATATATATATATCTCAGCTTGAATAAGATTATGATAATTACTATTACTGTTGATATAATTGTTACAGGCTTATTATAATTACGATGATCATCATTGACACAATCACTGATGTAATTTCCTTATTCATTAATATATGTGTGTATGTAATTACCAGCATCATCAGCATTTTCATGAATATTAATGCGACCATTATTAAATGTCATTTAGGTTATCGAAAAATCCTCATTTTCCCTATTTTTCTGTGGCAGTTTGTTCCTCCTCTCAAAGGTGTAGATCCAGTTGCTTTCATGACAATGCAATGATTCTTTGATGATTTTAAAAGACCAATCTGTACTCCGGCTCAGAAGACCCAATTAATTCAATATTAATTCATTATATATATATATATACATATATATATATATATATATATATTAATATATATATATATAGAGAGAGAGAGAGAGAGAGAGAGAGAGAGAGAGAGAGAGAGAGAGAAAGAGAGAGAGAGAGAAATGCTCTTGTCTGGTCAGTAACCGAGGCAATCAAATATATACTCGGATATCCACGGTCCAGGCAGGAAACGATCTTACCAGCTGACAATCGTTTATATATTGTATAGCACATCGTACACTGGTTGGGGCCTTTGGCTTTTTAGTCTTTTCAGTGATGCACAAGAATTAGTCGTGGAGTGATGTCTTTCTTTCGGTTGTTTTGAACTTGATTGATGCATAGCTCCCCATTGCAAGAGTTTGGTGCGTTGCTCCTTTGTGCAGGACGAGACTCGTGCGTTGTGGTAATGGTCTGTTAGTAACTATTAAACAGGTATTTGATATGTCAGGATGCTAGACGGAGCAAGAATAAATGATATTCTGATCTTGATGCTGTTTTTATTGTGTGTGTACAACGGAATATATATATTAATTGAAATGGCAAGATTAGTCTTTATATTTGGTAATAAGTGGCTGTAATATCACTGATAGGTTAAAGAAAAGGAGTTCTCTATAAAAGTATGTAGATGGGAGTAAAGGAACTCAAGTGTAGAATACAAGTGTCAAGAAAGGTTAAAAAGCAACAAAACGCAGTCATGAGCAGGTTTATTGAAACGTAAAAGAGATACACGCAGGCAGATCACGTCGCTTACTGGGTACGACGAATTATGAGAACGTTCTGCCTCCATCCAGCAGAGATGCTCGCCTCTCACTGTCTCTTTTTCGAAAGTTACGAAATAGGCATTACGACTAAAATCTGAATTTACATTCTAAATTTTGCTCACTACAATACTGAACAATTATGGAAGGTGATTAGAACTTTCAGCAGGCGACTTAATGTGGAAGATTCTGTTCGACATGAATTCCACGCATACAGACACGCACAATCACCAGTATTTACGGTCAAGCCAGGTCGGCCGGAGGGAGAGAACCTTATCTGACTGACTGGTGCTTCTCCTGGTGTGACGGGTTGCCTTCGTTTTACCAAGCAAGTGTATGGAGTGTTGTCTTTTATATTGGTTATGTTTTGAAAGATTTGTTTAGTATGGAAGTTCTATGTTGCCTTTTTTACTCAGCCTGTGATGTCATATTTTTGTTGTTTTTTGTAACTATGGGATCATTTAATCACCTGAGAGTCGTAACTAAATACGCCAAACCCACATGGACATTACCTTGCCAAAATCAACTATAACTCTATGGAGTTTATGAGTATACAGTTATTATTATAATTATCATTAGTATCAGAATTATCAATATTATCTCCATCATCAATCCTACTGCTACGTTTGCTATCATTATATAACAATAACAACGACAATATAA